GGTAATTTACTGAAGATAGAATAGCCTTTCAGATATCATATGTGAAAAATTTGTCTTTCTTCATCTCCGATATTCATCTTTTTAATCTCAACCATTTGAGGTTTTTCTAAGAAAGGAAAATGTTTTCTGTGTTCAGGTGAATGAATCAAAAGCCTACAATCTATTTTCTGGTGCTCAGACTATGAGATTAAGGTTCACTTCTATTCTCGTTACTTCCATTTAGCTTGTTATCTGTTTCCTTGTTACTGGACGCGTGCAAATTCTTTTCACATTTCTTACCATTACTTAAGTAACTACTGCTTTAAAGTTGATCTGGAGATACTAGCATGGTCTGTCATCTGGAAGTGTATGTATAAGTTGATTTTGCATCTAACTAACTGAGTAAACAGAAACATGGCTTATCAGAATCATTAAAGATGTGTTTTTGAGCTTGAAAGTTTGTTGGCTTTCTCAATTCTTCCTGGCTTTCAAATTTGGTCAAACTGTGGCCAGGAACGATAACATCTTTACTGTATTCCAACCTTTATCTTGTATTTTTTGAGAACTCCAATTAGGGATGTGGTTCATGCATTACTTACAATAGGAATCTTCTTTTTCCATCTTTTTCCTCCATCCCAATACATATAATTGGGGATGTCACAGAGTGTTTGGCACCTTTTATATTATTCTATACAACTTTCACAACGTTCAGGATTCTAATTCATCTAACAATTCGACTTTTGAACTTTGATATGATGTTTCCTGTGAAATAACTTTTCAACCACAAGTTATATTAATATCTTAAACTCCATGCTAGTTAAATGGTGTCATATTCGATGGGATGGGAAGAGTATATATTCCAAGGGATTAAAATGTAGTACATCCCACTTTGTGTGTTGGCAGCCGCCACCATGAGAGGCTAAGAACTTTCCTGATGTGTAGAATAAGACCAATCAATGGATATTTTACATATCAATACCCATCCTATTCATTCCATTCTCTTGATTAGTGCAAACCACATATCTATAATCTATCTATTGCTAAAATAAACATGGTTCTGGTTATTGAAATCATTCTGGTTTATCATAATTTGTTATAATCAAGACGAACTGACGCATTTTTGACTTGGGTTTTTTTACAAGTAAATACATGCTTACCTGCCTGGTCTGCGATAATTTAGTGTTTTGGTGGTTGACTATCACGAGTCCAGTAATGTATGTATATTATGACAGCCAGATGGTGGGAAAATTGTCCCTTTCTATCTTCTACCACGTGTAGAATGCGAATATATCTGATTTTCCTTTTCGGGAGTTGCATAATTTTTGGCAAACTTGTTACCAATAATCACATTTTTAATACTATTATAAATCTGAAGAAATCGTTAGATAACTCACTCTGTAAAGGTCATATACTCGCATCAAATGATCTAAACATAAAGTAGGTAATCAGTCTCTAATGGTGCCGTTTTCTATGACTACTCGTATATTAAGCAACTAAACAAATATCTTCATTCGTTCCTGATCAAATGTCACATGCAACACATGGAAGGAGTATGATCTATTTGATGTAATTACAGGCTCCCTTCATCTGTGACTCAATCTAAGCTGGGTAAATTTGAAGCCACTCCAGCAAAAGGTTCACTAACATCTGGAAAGCAGAGTCCTCCCAGTACAGACCCTTCTGCTGTACCTCAATCTCCAGTTGATACGGTACCTTCAGATTACATATGACTTTCACCTCATTATAGGTGTGCTTTTCCCATCAATAAGTTTCTTGCCACACCTTATTCTTTTTGTTTATTTTAGAACCTTTCAGCGAAACTGTATACAGCTCTACGGAGACTTCGTACTCTTCTAGTTAAAGAAGCTGGAGACGGTGTCATGGCTTACCATATATTTGGGTAAGTGCCTTATTTAAACTCGTTTTCTTTTCCTTTCTTCTCCTTTTTGTCTAATAGATCATTAAGCATTTTTGTGTTGCTAGTATTTCACTTGGGCAGTGGCGATGAACTTAAGTTGCACTCTTAAGTTTCTCCTGGCTTTTAAAAGATGTGATATACTAGTCAGACCTGTTGTTTCGCTGCCTCAAGATTTGGTTCTCTTAAACCATATGGGAAACGTGGACCAAAGATTCACGGGAAATTCAGAACCCAGGAGAATTTCAGAACCCATTCAAAAGGATTCCTATTGAATAACATATTGTGCCATGGAATAAAATCTGATTGATGTTCTGTATTCTTAAAGTTGGTGTATATGTATTCTTTGCAAGAGCCCTTTGCATTCAAGCAGCCTACGTCACCTATTTTTGTTTAACTTATTCTAACTTATTAAAGAGGAGAGTAATCAAACGATAGATTTGAATTGTTTACTTGTTATGCTGGACTCTGTTTCTTTTTAAAGTTGAACATTCCAGTGTAGTATAAATTTCTTCAGACTTTCGAACTCAGGTTGGACATAATGAGGGTTTTCAGTAAGTAGGCTTTTTCTCTGGCATTCTCATAAATACGATGCTTCGCTTGAATATTGTTCTGTTCTGGAGGATGCAAAGGGAAACAGATTTGACACTTTGGTACAGCTTAGAAGTTAGAAGTGCGTGATTTATAAGGCTCTTTGATTTGTCAGTTTGTACTTTTCTTCTTTATTGCCAGGAGAACTGCTGCTAAAATGATTTCTTTTTTGTTCATTTTCTAGAGATGCTACCATGCAGCAGATTAGCATTAAAGTACCAAGAACTACGGATGAGCTACTCGACATCAATGGCATTGGCAAGTAAGTTTGAGAATAAGTTGGACAATGTTTTCATCCATAGTTCCACATGTTTAATGAGCTTGGTGGTGCAATTTAGGGTAAAAATCACCAAGTACGGGGATAGGGTGCTAGAAACCATTGAAGCTACCATCAACGAGCACTACAAGTCAGCTAAGACCAATAGCAGCGGCAATGACAGTACAGATTCAGGTAAGAAGAGAAGAAATTCCATCAATGTACAAAATGCGAACTCCAAAGATGAAGAGGATTTCACTGGAAGCACTGGACATTCTAAGAAAAGGGTGTTGAAGAAGCAGAACAAAAATCCAGAGGTTATCGACTATAGGGACCTTGGGTATTTTGATGAATGTATGGATGGTGACATCGATTTCGATGAGAGTATGATGCCATAGTGAATGCTCCCTATTCAAGTGTTGATCAGAATGGAGGAAGAGTTTCATGATATGGTTTGGAGTTGGTATCATAATTTACATGGCTGAAAAGTTTATCATCACTACACTGTTTTCTATTCATTCTCGTGAAATATTGAGTTATTTGTTGACAAAGCTGCTGGAACAAGGTCGAAATTCCAGTTATTATGAGATGTTAAATTTATCTTGCTGTGAAGTGATACCATCCTAAATGTATATAATATTTCTCCTTTCTCTAAGGAGTAGTGTATTTCTGAACTTGTTGGATTTTAAGTTCATACGGGAAGATTTTGCGAGGGAAGGGATTTTAGAATCCTGCCATCTATTTTCCGTTTTAATTGGCTTTGGACTTCTCTCTTACTAAAAGTTTGTTACAATTTTGTTCTTTATAATTTTTTGGCCAAGTTATTTAGTCTGGACTTTTTTCCTGAGTAATTTTTCATTAGGTGGGTATATAGTCATTTAGCAGTTATGATTTTAAATGAACTATAAGATGATTGGCTCGAGATGCTAGGGCAGTTGGCTTATACAAAATGTGTATTTATTACTTAAGATTTGAAATCACAATCTTTGTAATGTTGGTCATGAGAAGTAAATGATAATTCAGTTTGGAATCAATATGCCTTTGTAACCAGAATCAGCTTGTTGGACCTTTTGCATGGGCGAATTGCTCGTAAAGAAAGCACCTGTTGAAACTGCCATATCGCTATTATTTACTTTCTGAGGGTAAAATTGACTACTTTCTGGAATGATGTCAGAAGTGAATATTATTGCCACTTGATAACAAAATTTAAATTTAGAATCAAGGTTTGGTCAATCTTTAAGATCATGTGGTGTCTTTACTTTAGGAAGTAATATAAAATATTACATCTTTAAAGGAGTGTGAATAACATTATGTAATTGGAATTATTCTGATGGTTAACGTGTCATTAGTTAATTAATTCTAAATTCAAAATCATAAACATTCTCCCGATTCTAAATTCAAGTTACGACGAAACTCGCAGATCCCAAAGTATTGGAATCAAAATGTTTAATTGTTACTCCCTCCGGTTCACAATAAGTGTCCAATTTACTTTTAGCACGCCCATTAAGAAAATACTAAATTCTATACAAAAATACCTACCATGACTAAACTACCCCTAATTAAACATTTAATGTGAGGAGTAAGAAAACTTTTTAGGGATATGTACATAGGGGTTATTTTGTAAAAACAAATTGAATTCTTTCTTGATTACATAACTGAACACTTATTTTGAACCAAAATAAAAAAGCAAATTGGACACTTATTGTGAACCGGAGGGAATACCTAGGAATATTCTGTATCTATGTTTTGCTATTATTGACACATCTTATATGATGCAAAATTATATTAGTATTACTGTTGTTATCGTTTGAGAAGTCAAACAATATTTTGTCTGATTACAACTTTATGTTTTACAAACATTATCATAAACATTACTCTTTTTATGTAAATGATATGTTTCAAATAATACAAAACAAATTAGATTTAACATCTTTAAAATCGAAACCATTCTTTTTGGACAAAAGAAATACTACTATATATTTCAGTATGGGATTTATTGGAAATGAAGTGTAACAAAAAAAAAAAATAAATGAGAAAGAAGATATTTCAGTGGGCACGAGTAGGGCCAAATACGTGATTTCAGAAACGAGAATAGGACAAAAAGTACGAGAAGGGTGGGTCCCAAATTCGTACACATAATTCAAATGAATCAGCAACGTGTCAACAGCATTACGTGCCATGTAAGTAAATTCGCGGTGACTAGAGTAGGCTCTTCATTTCTTCAATTTTTCTTACTGTATTATTATGCCTACTCTCACAGCTTATATCATCATCTCACACCTCACTCTGTTTCTCTTACAGTGTGAAAAGAAACAACAAAAAAGCTCTCTTTGTGTTTTTTTATTTTGCAAGCTTTGAGAAAGAGCAAAAACTCAATGGGCTAAATGCCTATTTTCTCGATTTGTATATATGCTTTATAGTTAATGAGGATATGAGAGAAACTTGTAACAATTTTTGTACGTCTTTGTAAAACATGGGAAACCCTAGCATTTCTAGCTCAAAAAGTAAGAAGATGGAGGAGGAAGAGGGTTTAAAGAGTATAGGGGAAAGTGAAAAGCCACCAGAAGATGACTGTTGTCCCATTTGCTTTGGAGATTTCTCCATTCCTTGCAAAACAAACTGTGGTCACTGGTTTTGTGGTACCTTTCTACTCTCTTTTACTTATTAGTTCTTACTTACTAGTGCTACTATTTTTTTTAAATTTTTTTTATGTTAGTTTTTCCTTATTTGTGTGTGTGGATAAAGTAAGGTTCTCTGTTTGTTTTCTTTAGTTGCTTAGAGTCTAACAACTCTCTGATTATAACTGCATTGGATGTAAACTGAACGTTGCAAATTATTTTCTTGCCTTTCCCTCCCTCTGCTTCCTCCACCGCCGACCCACCAAAAACACATAAGAGGAAGAATCTGTCAATAGCACAAAGTTTCTGTGCAGTGTGTGCGCATGTGTGTGTGTATACTCCCTTTGTCTCAATTTATCTCACATAGAAAGAAGTGAAGGCTTTTGAAACTTGTGGTACAGAATATCACACAACATTGGTGAGGCTATAAGACCAGTGGCGGAGCCACCTTATAGCAACGGGTCGCGGGAAAAATAAATTATATGTATATATTGACTCCCCTTAATTTCCTGGTATATCTATGACTTATGAAAAATGTGGTTTTAAATATCTCATAATATTTGAGTTACTATAAAAGCTTGTCAATAATGGTAAGGTGAAAAGTTTAAGTTAATTATTTCCACATTATGAAGCTGCCATGGTAAGGTGAAAAGTTTTAGTTAATTATTTCCACATTATGAAGCTGCCATTCTTTTTGGAATGTGATAAGGAGGAAACGCTGTCACGTAAACGGGAACGGAGGGAGTAGCACATATAAAGTATATAAGTTCTATGTAAATTATGTTTTCCTTATTCCTGATTTCTCCTCTGCTCCTGTAAATTACGTTTTCCTTATTCCTGCTTTGTCCTCTTCTTTGCAGCAAGTTGCATATTGCAGCTCTGGCGCTTCAGATCAACGCTACAGAGATGCAAGTGCCCAATATGCTGTCGCCCCATCAGCAAGTTGGTACCAGAGGCATCATTACTTATTCAACAGGAAAAGGATGTCATTGAACTCCTTAAGAAAATTGAGTGCTACAATCACCTTTACATTGGTGGTGCCTATGGGGTTTTTCTGGTAGGCTGCTATGTTGGAGCTCCATACCTGCAATGCAATTCTCAGTCGTGCATATCTGTTGTATACTTCATAGTTTTTCTCTTTGGTTGGGATCTCTTTCCTTTTTGGTTCTCGCGAAATTGTATTAGCATCTTGTACTTAATCTTTCTCAGAAGAAAAAATAACAATTGAACTCTATTAGCATCTTCAGGTAAAGATTTATTGCTTTGTAAATGTCTAATAAGTGGAACAGATTACATGACGATGTCTATTTTAAACTGAAACAGTTTGCTTTTTACAGTTACAAATAAGACATAAGATCTGATTTTGTGCTTTTCTACCCTGTCAAATGTAAATTAGTTTCATTATCTAGTTGCATATAATTAGGAATTAGGATTTGTCCTCATATCTAAGCTCTCAAAGTAGAGTAGGATATTTGCTTGTACCTTCTATGGTGCTTTGAGCCCTTGACTGGTCCAACTGTGCTATATAACATAGTGGGTCAGGCAAGTTGGTTCTTTACTGAGACAATTTATCGGTGAAGATAAGCCAGTTGATTTTATTTCGGATCAGTAAACGTTAAAATTGCACCTTCCTGTGCTATCATTTAGTTGTTTCATTTTAAAACTTCAGAATAATGTTTATCATAGGTCTGGTTTCATGGGTTCTCTTTCTCTTTCGTGCAGAAGGTACTAGCAATACCACTTTTAACGAGAAGAATTCTCCGGTCTGTAATGGATGGACTGATGAATCCTGATCAAATTCGGTTAAACTATTACCTGATGCGCATTCTTGCAGTAAGTTTTTTAAACAGTTAATTGGAAATAGTGCAATTACTTTGTGTTCTGACGTTACATGGGGAAAAGGTCTATGCAATTCATGTTTGTGCTGGAAGTCTAAACATGCGGAGATTTGAATTGCGATGCACTCTCATTTCTTCCGGTTCATTTATGATTATGATTTACTCAATAACCTTACATGATGAGAGAAAACAATTCATATTCTTTTGGCGTGCTCTGTTCAATGTAAAGCATAGATTTTCCGGAAGTACCCTGGGTGAATTTTGGTAGAACTTTTCTGTGTACTTGTCATTGCTTATTTCAACTCTAGAAATTGTGTATATCAGAAATCTTAGTACTGTACTATGCAAAACCCGAAGACCATTAAGCGTATCTTGGACATTGCTTCATGCTCCATCCAACAGTTAAATTGTAAATGTTCGTTGTTATCTACTTCTGGTTTTTGATTGTTAATGCTTTAGCTCGTTTTGTTTCAATATTGGCTGTGAAGTAATTTCGTTGTGGTTACTGCAGTTGTTGCTGAGTTGGATCTACTGTAGCTGCCAATTGAAGTTCATTCCTACTGGTATTCTACTTGTCCTACTCAACTAAACAATGAAATTGTATATTACGCTTTATGTTATCTGCAGCCATAATTATTGAGACATTCTGACAAATAATCATCCTTGCTAGAGGACTGGTGATTTTAATTTATCCATTATCGTGCTCATCTTCAGAATGCAACCTAATAGAGAGTAAACTATATCGAAAAAGCTATCTTATGGAAGAAGATATTTGTTTAGGCCTTCTTTAGAGTAATTGCTCTTCCGGACTTCCACATCTTGTTTGTTTGTGCATCCATGGGTATTATGTGGCTGATAAAATAATTGTTTGTAGGAGGATTGGGAATCTGGAGACTGTTTGACCTATGTGCTATTTTCATGGTGGCCATTTTCTCCTTGGCTGGCCTATATCAGAGGTGGGTGCTTCGTCGTCGTGTGAGACAGTTGGCTATTCTACCAGCACAGCCCTATTGAGCCTAATGGAGAGTCCATGCTGTGAATATATCTTGACTTTTGTTGCTAAGAAAATGACTCACTTGCAGAAAATTTGATTGTTATTTCAACGGTAGCTCCCACTAATAGGCCATATTAGTCTCACTCTAATCAATGAAGTGTTTAGCCTAGATATACAAATGTGGACAGCTTTTGCTTCAGATTCAAACTTCAGTAGATTATCCAACCAATTAGTAACCCGAGGTCCCAGACATTCATTTATTAACCGGAAGAAAATAACAACATGATATTCAGTTTACCAAGAATTTGTTAGATAGTTGTGGTTTCTCGTGGTTGATTTGACTCATATGAAGTCAAGTTTAAGCGTGATTTAAGTTATCAAATGTCTTTAAACAAAATATCTTAAGATCACCTTTGACTGAAATGATTTTAAACTTTCCAAACTTTTCCAAAATACGGTGTCAATATTATCTTATTACTACTATATCATATACATCCTCTATTTACTTCTATTTTTTGCTAAAATGTGTGATCAAATTAACAGTTAAGCACCGTAATTGGCAAAAATTTATTTTGTGAAATACTTGGCGAGTATGTCACCCCTTGGTGTGCGGTTCTGCTCCTGACATGTAATTTATGCATTGTGTTGTCCTTTTTGATGTAGTGAGTACTCGACCAAACATGATTAAGATCTCATATTTGAAAGGGAAAATGCTTTAAAACACATTAAAGTTAGACCTCTAACAATGTGAAGAGGAAAAAAAAACTAACAAAAGATAAAAAAATAAAAGCTCGTTTGGTTGCATGTACATAGAATCCAACATTAGTAATGCAAATATGCAATATTGTGCAATGCACTCTATAGTTGTATCTGTGTGCACACAAACAATACATTAATTTATATAATATTATTTTATACGTAATTAAAAGTAAAATAAGAATATAAAAAGTAATAATATATATATTAAAACATGTAAAATACTAAATAACTTTTTGAAAAAACAAGCAGATACTATATGTTGTATTTGTTTACCTTGAAAATGATAATTATATTATATAAAAAAGGAAAGATGGTCAACCAAGGGCATATATGTCATTTCGAAAAAAATTATTATATTGTTTGTATTTCTTAAATGCAAATTGTGTCCTTCTTGATATACGNGCTCTTCCGATCTAACTAAAAATTTTTACGGAAAAAGTAAATTTAATTTTTAAATAATAAAGCAACAAAAAGAAATATAGATAAATATTTAAAAAAATTTAGATCGGAAGAGCNAAAGTTTAAATGTAGTGTTGATAAGACTACATTTGCATAGAGTTACTCCATGCAAATACTCATTTTGAATGTTTTTTCTCATTGGATAAAATTATTAATTTTTGTTCAGTCAACTAAAAATTTTTACGGAAAAAGTAAATTTAATTTTTAAATAATAAAGCAACAAAAAGAAATATAGATAAATATTTAAAAAAATTTCATATTTACCCATACTATTTTATTTAAAAAATAAAATTAAAGGTTTTCATGTATTCACACTATTTGAAGGCGGTTTCAAACGTAAAAGTTTTATATTCAAAAGTAATTTTAAAACTATAGTTTGTTAAACTTACTAAAAGTTAATTTAAGTGATGATATTTATTCATCTATTCTAGGAGATTATCTCTTATGTACTTAATTGAAGTGAAAATTTAATTTATATGGTTTGAACTCCATTCTTCCATGATAAGTTTTCAACAATCTATAAATTGTCTTAAAATATTTTATATTATTTCATTATAATAATTAACATATGATAAATCTATAGAAAAAAATAAAAATATTTCTCTTATATCCTTAACTAGATGAGCAAAGGCCCGTATACGGGCCCAATATTGCAATTTTATTAAAATTATTATTTGTTGGTGTTTAGTTAATTAACTTTTGAGGTTTTAACAAGCTATATTTTTTAAAATTACTTTTGAATATAAAAACATTTAGTATGAAATCGTCTTTAAATAGTAAGGATAGAAAAAAATCATTCAATTTTTATTTTCAAATTGCTTTAAGATAGTATGGGTAAATATGAAAATCTTGTAAATATCAATACTTCTTTTTGTTGTTGTATTATTTAAAAATTAATTTTATTTTCTCTATGGAAACTTCTATTTGAATAAAACAAAATTAATAATTTTTCAAAATGAGAAAAAGATTGAAAATGAGCATTTGCACTGCACAAAGTCTAATCAACACATGCATAGTGCATTTAAAGGAGAATTGTGGCTAGATAAATGTAGGGTCCACGTGTATTTTTGCATTTAAGAAATGCACACATGAATTTTTTTATGAAATGACATATATGCCCTTGGTCAACCATCTTTCCTTTTCTATATAATAGAAATTAAGAAAAAATTAAAACCCTATAATTAAAAATTCAAATATAGTGGGAAAATAATACCATTCAATCAATTTTACAATTTGATGTTTATATTTGACATTGATGTTAAAATGAGTATTATAGCACATAGTCTTTTTATGTTAATAATTGGAGCAACTTAAGGAGGTTATAATTTATAGTTTAATTTTTTGTAAATTATTAAAATAAATTAATTGTAAATTATGATCCCCAATATCATTCTCTATCAGTTATTAAATGGATATAACAATGATCGATTTATTTATCAAAAAATTAATTGAGCGCCGACATATAATAATATTAAGATTACAATGTTGGGCCCGTATACAGGCTTTTCCTCATCTAGTATAATTAGATTTGATTTTGTGGTTCTAAAAATACGTGATTTATTTTTATGTTAGTTGTTAAGCAATGGATGCTAAGTGAGAGACTAGAAAATAAGATAAGAACTTGAAGGTAGCGTATCAAGCAAACCGAGTGGTTGAGAATCGGGGCCTCGAGCTGGCTGGTACGGGCTCTCGAGGTCGAGTTATACGTTAGGCTGTGGACAGTCGACGGGGAACTAACAGATCTAAAGGCCTTGATGAGGGCTCTTTATGACTCAATAATGAGCAATAAATGAAGAACAATCAATGGATATACAATAAATATGAGCAATAAATGTAAGTAATAAGATCAAAGGAGAATATGTTTAAGCTAGAGAGCAGAGAATGTTCTTGTTCTTGTATTCAATGTAGTATATTTTTTTCTTACAAAACAGTAAGGGCCCCTTTTATGTAGGAGGTGAAACCCCAACATTGTGCATGAGTAATTATTACAAAGAAAATATAGCTGGTACAGCTACTCGCTAGTTTGGCATAGACTAGTGCTTTTCTTACAGGTTTTGTCAGCTTTGATCACTTGCCTTGGGAACTTCCCGCTCGCCCATGACAACCATCGATGTGTGCTGTCCTGAGGTCAGTCATAAAGGATCCTCGGGGACGAACCTCGAGCTGTGCCTCGAGCCTTCGAGGTGAAGCTTCGGCGAGGTACAATGGTCGTAAAATCGGGCTCTCCGGTTTTAGCCGCGCACAGATAGTCCCCGCGTTTCTTAGAGTAAAAATGATAAGAAACGATCTTGAATCCTCGCCCCTTCGATACTTCCATCACGACGGTAGCCATGCCCTATCGAGCAACTGACGTGACAAAATAAGGTGTCTAGAGGCCGCGTCCACGCAACCCTTTTTGGAAGTCTCCGAATTAATTACAGCGGTTGGCTGTCCTTTGGTCTGCTTCAACGTACACCTTAGATCTCTATAAATACTTCTCCTTTCGCCTCTTATTTTCCACTGCATCATCAAACCCCTAAAAGATTTCTTTTTACTTCTCTCATGTGCTCTCTTCCGAAGCGCATTTTTATTTCTCCTCTGAAATCTCTTAACAAGAATGGCGAAAACTTCTACCTCTGTTTCTCAGGAAGATGTGCCTCCCTCTTCCTTGCGCTCGTCTAAGGGCAGAGCAACAGAGCCCCCTCTCGTTGGGGAATGCATTCCAGGAGCCTTTGAAATGACCTCTGATTCTGGCGCTTTGTTTACATGACCAGATATTACGCGAACATGATTAAGGGGATGCCCTTCACCCTCGACCACCTGGTCAGAATGTACAATCCCCGACTCTTCCGTGGGGGTCTGATTAAACTCCACTGTCGGGCCTCGAGAGCCCTATTTGCTTGCACCGACGAGGTTAGGAATGGAGGATGGATGAGCCGTTTTGTTCGAGTTAGGACTTCGGACCTGATCCCAGCGGGGAGGATGCCATTCCCCAAACGGTGGAACATGAAACGTGACTAGATATGCTAATTAAATGTTCTCTTGTTTCTCTTCGGGTACATTTCCCTACCAACTGACTTCCTTCGCCGATGCAGCCGTCGCAGTGTATCCTAATGCGGTTAAGGATCTCTCGGGTTGGGTCAACCAGCTGGATTCAACTTGCCCATAAGTTGAGCGCGTGTGGCGCGTTCTGTCCCAGGCTCGATGGGATGCCAAGGACCATGGTGAGCCTTTACATCTGCTGTAATTGTACCTCACAGAAGAATTATCACTGACAAAGTCCTCATTCCCTGCGTTTACATTTGTGCAGGTCTGGGGGAGGTCTTCTTGATGAGGGAAGCACCGCTTGGTGAAGCGAATACCCCGAAACCTGACGAAGAGAAGAAAAGACGTAGGAGGTTGTCGATTCATCCCCTGAAATCCAAGAAAGCCAAAGTAGAAGAACCTAAGGTCGATTCGGCGGTCTTAACTCCAGGGGTGCCGGGGAGTCCTTAAGCTGAGGGCGAAGGAAAGGATGATTCCTCGGAATCTCCCACGGGGGGAGAAAACCTAACTATCTCGTATACCGTAGAGTCGATGGCTTCTAAATCGGAACTTGATTCCATTGTTGTCCTACCTCGGACTGAAGAGACCCTCGAGGGTGCTTCGGGTGATATCCCCGAGTTAATTGGCGATCCAAAATTTCCACGAGCGGAGGAGCATTCATTAGGCGGTCCGGGGGAGCCTAGTTTAGAAGCTTCCCAGAAATCGGGGTTATCGAAGTGAGCGATTCCCCCTTGGGATCAACCTTTTCACCGAGGCAGATGTAGGACGCCCAAAATAAAAAGTCTTTCGACGTGGGGGCGTCCGCAGGAGATAAAAATGTGTTTGAAAGGCTTTTTGCTGCGCTTGAGGAAAAGCCCGAGCCTGACGTTTCGCTTATTTTCAGTGAGATCGACAGGCTCTGTGAGCAGGTAATCTTTTCGTAAATTCTGCTTGGTGCCCCGATCTTTGTCTCGTTAACCTTGTTTCTTTCATGGTTCCAGGACAAGGTGCTTTATAATCAAACTTTTGCCAAGTTTGAAACCGAGCTGACCCGTTACGAGAGTGAGCATAGAAAG